TGCAGTCATTCCTGCTGGATGCATTTCCAGACCAGTTGGCTGTCGTAGTTTCCGACTGGAACTATTTTTGCTTTCGGTTGTGAAATTACAACGATGGTGGAAGGGTCTCTTGTTAAAAAAATTGATGACAAAGTCTGCTATTGTCATTCAGTCTTGTACTCGTGGGTGGATAGCCAGGCGAAAGGCCACTATTCAAAGACATCGTATTACTGTCATCCAAGTATAGTATTATAATACGCTGTAGTTCTTTCATATTTTCGTTTGACTGGTTGGTTCACATGAATAAATGTGTGGTATAGTTTGGGGATACGGGGGTCGGGGCAAAGACTGATATAAAATTTGTGATACTGATATTATAGGACGAAATCTTTAGGTAAGTAAATAAAGGGAGCAACTTTTCTGCCTTTTCTTTTTGGTAGCATTAAACTAACAGACGAAATCTTTTTTCTTTCCACTCTCACTTGACATTTTGTTTTATGTTAAGACTTCATAATGATGCATATATTTTCACTACTAGATGGATAGGGAAATCGTTTATACTGATGATGATAGTAACTTTAGCCTAATTTTCCTCTATGTTTAGCTTTCTCTTTCTTTTTATTAGGTTTTCTCCCTTTTGTTAATATTCCTTCTTGTTCTCTAAATTTTTGTAGTCCCACTGGAAAGGTTACCTTGCACGTAAAGAGTCAAAAGAACAGTTATTAGATTTGCGCGTGAGAATGCAAAAGTCTGCCAGAAATGTGGATGACAGCAAGCGTCTCATAAACAGACTCTTAGCAGCGCTTTCAGAGCTACTTAATATGAAGAGTCTTAGTAACATCCTTCATACTTGTTCAACTTTGGGTGAGAGTTACATTGCATTCAGAGCTTTTAAGATGGCTTCACAAACATGCAGATTGCAGTTTCATTTCTTCAAATATGTTCTTTAATTCTAATTTGCATGACACGAGTAAGCTAAGATGGTATTTTAGAATTTATTTAGGTGATCCAACCCAAGACATTGAAACAGCTGATATTTATTGCAGTTCACGTGATTACAAAAAATATAGACACGTCATCATATTTATTCTTGTTTCACGTATGGAAATTATTTCGATGAGTCCTGGCAATTGATCATGTTCATTATTTTTCCATTTGTCTGTATTTTAACAGATATGGCTACAGGGCATTCTCAGAAATGTTGTGAAGAACTTGTGGCTGCAGGGGCTATTGATACCTTGCTGAGGCTAATTCAAACAGTCAGCCGGAGTATACCTGATCAGGAGGTTCTAAAGCATGCTTTGTCAACTCTCCGAAATCTCGCCCGATATCCTCATCTACTTCAAGTTCTGATCCAAACTCGTGGCTCTGTACAGATAATCGTCTTGGAGTTATTGAGGTTGTTTCAGTATTCAGTTGTAGTATTGGATCAATTGTATGTTCTTGTAGGTCTGCTTAACTTCTAAAACTTTTTTCAGGAATAAAAACGAGGGCTACTTCGTTGTTTCTGAACTTTTGAAGAAGATATGTTCAACTCGTATAGGCGTTGAAACGATATTCAAGTCCCCTGCCCTGCTAAAACGACTGCACGGTCTTGTTGAGAAAAGGTGAGACTTTGGTCAGAGGAATAAGTTATTAAAATGTGTTTGTTGATGAAAATCTAACGGGAAGCTTTGGTTTTATTATTAATATTTTTGAGGCAATGCAGAGATCCTAGGGCTCCTAGCCTGGCTATCAAAGAAAACAGAGATCCTAGGACCACTAGCCGGGTAATCAAAGAAAACAGAGAGAGAAGATCGAAGGAGGCTGCTGAGATTCTGAAGCTGTTAACAAGTGCATGAAGTTTTTTTTTTTTTTATTAATTTTTTTTTTAATGAAGTTTTGATTCTATGTGCAAGGAATCAAGGTTCGTTCGCTACCTATTTTTACATGCTGTCCTCATCTCGTGGATTTTGGAATGAGATTTGTTGATAGTTCATGACTAACCTTCGTATGAAAGTAAACAATTGATAGAAAATGGCGAATCGCTGCCGTTTTTACAGGAGTTTTAGAAAATATTTTGTTATTACTAAGTAGGTTAGAGAGAAATTTTTTAATCCAAAAGGGATAAATATTCTTTGGAAATTATCAACATGGAGTACATTTTAAAAAATTTAATCAAAATAGGATAAATTATGAATAGGAAACACCGCTTGTATTATAACTTAGAAGTCTTCCGTGCATTTACAACTTTGCCAATTAAATAAGCAAAAATAATTTGTTGTGGAAAAAAATATGCATATAAGCCAAATTAAATTTAACAAAAGAAAGGATGCCATGCATGACTACTCTTCAGGATTCACAAGGAAGAAGTTATAAATTATTTTTTAATAAAATTATGGCATGTGTAATTAACAAAAATTTACTACATTGCATGGCTTTAATAAATAGGAAAATAAAATTAGAATTGTATGTTTTTTTGTGACTTAATAAAAGCCGTCTAACAATGGTTAAGCTGTTTATAAAGTTTGTCAAAAAAATAAATAAAAGCCATTGATAAAGTGACGGATGTGAGACCCCTATTTTCATTTCCTTTTTCTCTCTCTCGACCATCTCTTTTTCACTCTTTCATTCTCACTCACTTGACTGATTCACTCTTCTTCCTCAACTCTTTGAACCTTGTGTTTCCTTCTCACTTTGCTTGGGTCATTTCCTTTACTTGGTGGTTGTAGGTGAGGTGTAGGGTGGTATGAAGCTAGCTGGAAACCAGAAATCCTTTTCTCTTCTCCATTGAGCTCTTTCTCTTCTCCCTCGCTGTCCCGAAGCTCGGATTTTCGCACCGAGGTAAGGGAAGTTAGGTTTTTTTGTGTTGGCTGCTTGGAAGTGAGCTAGAAACTCACTTGATGGCTGATTATTGCGGATTGATGGTGGTGCTTGATGAAATTTCGTTTTCGGGTTTTTCCGGGGTTTGATGAAAAATTTGGGGATTTTCCTTGTTTGTGGTTGCATGTTGAAAAAGCTGGTATTTTCGGGTGGTTTGATGAAAATGTGATGTTTTGGACCGATTGCATGTGCTTGAGATGTTGATTTTTGCAGGTTTTGGGTGAAATTTTCGAAGTGGTGAGGGTTACTGTTTGAAATTGCGCCGGGCGCAGTTCTTCGCGCCGGGCGTGATTCGAAATGGGGAATCCCTGGGTGAATCACGCCAGGCGTGGGGAGAATCACGCCGGGCGCACTATCATACGTGAATCTTATGTTTTTGTTACTGATATTGCACCGGGCGCAATAGACCTCTGTAGGTCTCTGGTTGAGATTTAAGTCGGGCGTGATTTTAATGCGCCAGGCGTGCATTTTTCTTTCAGAATTTGACTTTATAGTCTTCATAAAAGTTGTAGCCTTGGATGTTAGCTTTCCAATGGCACTGGAATCACCCAAAAGGGAGTTCTAGAACTCTAGATATGGCTATTTTAGTGAATAGGGGTCAAGCTGCCAACATTGGTTATAATTGTTGCGGTTTTTATCGTTACGGATGACCATTTGAGACAAGTTTTTGGGCAGTATGGAGAGTTGGTTCACGTGAAGATTCCAGCTGGCAAAAGATGTGGATTTGTTCAATTTGCCGACAGGTAATTTAATCATTCAGATATTTGGTATTTATCTCGTGTTAAATTACTTCCTAGTCTATATGCAGTGTGCTCTGATTGTGCCCTGACTTTTCATGTTCATACATCAGGATCTGCGCAGAAGAGGCTCTGCGGGTTTTAAACGGCACACTTTTGGGTGGACAAAATGTTCGGCTTTCATGGGGCCGAAGCCCCTCAAACAAACAGGTAACTAAATTTTCTGATTTGTTTTGTAGTTATGATTTGCCTTAGCTTCAACCTGCAATGTGTAAATTGATTTTGATGGATGAATTTGGACTTTTTGGATGATTTTCAGGCCCAACCTGATCCAAACCAGTGGAATGGTAGCGGATATTATGGATACGCTCAAGGTTACGATAAAGGCTTTGGATGATACCTCTTGCTCCTTTTGTCATGATCAAATTCAAATTTTACTTTTTAGATAATTGATTTATTTTACTTTTTTTTTATCTTGCTTAATTTAGAAATTCAAATTGTGGAAAATCTAGCTGAAGTTGAGAAGTTAGTCAAAAGGTAAATGCATGCACCTCACTTGCTTAAGTCTTTAAATTGTTTATTTATATATTTTTTTTTGTTTGATTTTTTTTATAGTATGGTTCATATGCTGTTATTTTTATATAGCAAATCAAATGAAGAAAAGGCTAAAGAAGCTGCTGTTGAAAAAGATCCTAATACGTTGGAGTGTCCACTCAATGCGTTTTCCCTTTTCTTGTAATCTTCTTTCTTTAAAGTATTTTTCTATTTTTTTGATTGTTTTATTCAGTAATAATCTTTATTACAGGCAGGAAGAGATGAGAAAACTCACAAAAAGCAACACAATAATGGTAAGTAGAAAGAGCAACATAATACAGCTACCTCTTGTGTGGATTGACTTGGAATGATGTTGTTTGTATAATGAGATTAATGTAACAAATTTCTGCATTCAGAGGTTTATATAATTGAAATTTTACTCCTTTTGTCATGATCAAATTCAAATTTTACTTTTTAGATAATTGATTTATTTTACTTTTTTCTTATCTTGCTTAATTTAGAAATTTAAATTGTGGAAAATCTAGCTGAAGTAACAGAGATTTGACAGCTTCCTTTGTCATTCTCATTTTCCACTTTCCCTCTTTCATGCCACTTTGTATGTGGTATTATATTTATTTGCATCACATATTGCCAGAATGCTGCCCCCTCGCATTGTGTCACAACTATTTCTTTCATCCTTTTATCCTTGAAAACTTAATTTGTATTATATATTTTTTCTTTGTTTGGAATCTTTTTTAACGGACTGCTTCCAGAATTTCCCTTTTTTAATGTCATCCATCTTTTTATTTGTACTTTGAACATGCAGCATCATATCAGAATCCTCAAGGGGCACAGAACGAGAATGATCCAAATAATACAACTGTGCGTACTTCTTTGCAATATAGAAACTACTATACTTTGTGCTTGTTTCTGACCTGATTTTTTTACTGCAGATTTTTGTCGGCAATTTGGATCCTAATGTTACGGATGACCATTTGAGACAAGTTTTTGGGCAGTATGGAGAGTTGGTTCACGTGAAGATTCCAGCTGGCAAAAGATGTGGATTTGTTCAATTTGCCGACAGGTAATTTAATCATTCAGATATTTGGTATTTATCTCGTGTTAAATTACTTCCTAGTCTATATGCAGTGTGCTCTGATATTTGTGCCCTGACTTTTCATGTTCATACATCAGGAGCTGCGCAGAAGAGGCTCTGATATATATATATATATATATATATATATTCTAGACGTTATACATATATACTTGTTTCTTTTCTGTGTGGTGTGCTGTACTGTGTGTAGTGACCAGTCGGGTCGTTACAACATACAAATGTCAATAATAACAATTATTTTCTTTGATGACTGATAAGTTGTTGATAAGTCAAAGGATAACTTGCACTAACTCATAAGAGTAAGTCTTAACAATTAATTTTTATTTGTAAAATGATTTTGATTTAATTTGAGTTTCTATTAATTAATAATATAAATGAAAGAATTTATGTAACAACTTCTTTCTCTCAAAAAACTCTATTCCGTTCAAAAGTTTTTTTTTTATATAAATGTTATTATACAAATGAAATAAACTAATAACCCACCAACCCGTGGTGGGCCGGGTCGGGTTTGATTTTTTTGAGTTCACTAATAAATGAGCCGGGTTGGGTTGGCCCACCAAATGGCCAACCCGTGATGGGCCGGGCCGGGTAGCCCGTTCTGACAGCTCTAGTTGTTAAGCTGGGCTATGCTGTATGTTGTTGAGCTGTTATTGTTGTTAAGCTGAGCTGTGCCGAATGTTGTTTATGCTGATTTAAGCTGTTAATGATGAATGTTGTTGAGCTGAGTGATAATTTTGATGTGCTGTGAGATGTTTATGCTGCATTATGATGTTGAGCTGTAGTTGATGAATATTGTTGTGTTGAGCTGTGTAAGCTGGGCTGTGAGTTGTTTGGCTGTGCTGTATAATGCTGAGTTGTATGCTGTTATTGCCGCTATGCGGTGCTGTTATTGCCGCTTTGCGGTGCTGTTATTGCTGCTATGCAGTGCTGTTATTACCACTATGCGATGCTGTTATTGTCGCTATGTGGTGCTGTTATTGTCGCTATGTAGTGCTGTGCTCCGTGTTGATAGGAGCTGTTGTAGGCCGTAAGACTGAGCTGTTGATCACTAAGACTAGAGGAATTGTTTTCGAAATTACCTCATCCCATTGTGTGGATGCAGCGGCTGTGGTGCTCTTGGAGCCTAATTTGTTGAAAAACCCTCCTTGGAAAGCTGACCCTTGGAGTGGTAACTTGCTGTTCTCCTCTAGGTTCTTAGTGGTCCCGTGTGTGGGCAAGGTCGAGGCACACATGTACAAAGCGACCACGGTATAGGGGCCAGGTCGAGCTATACCAATTACAAGCGACCAATACTAACTAATATGCGTGACAACGCATGATATGTTTACTGTTGTTATTGTTGATTGATGTGAGAGGTGTGCTGTGATATATTATAAGCTGATGTTGTTAAGCTGGTTGATGTCATTCATGTATTTAGGTATATGTATGTTGATTCTTTTCACTACGTTACCCTTCGTTGTTTCTATGTGGTTTGGACTACGATGATCATACTATGTATGGGAGCAGAACAAGGTTAGGTTGGTGTGTTGAGGAGGGTCTGCAGCTGGCAGATGGAGTTTTATTCTTTTGTTGTTTTTATGCTACTTAGTGTAACATTGCTGGATGTATTTTGTACACTCTGACACCTTAGCCAGATTTGGACCTTATATATATATATATATATATA